CATTGCTTATTGAAAAGCCATTGTCTCCTTATCAATAAAGAAGTTGAGAAATGTCCAGATCTGCTAGTTGCCCTACTTAAACTATAAGAATGTTGTTGCATTAATAAACACAGTTGTCAAAAGTAGCTGGCAGCTGACGAAAATCACTACGAAGTACTCCACGGTTTGGGCTGGTTTCTCTACAGAGCTCTTCCTCTCATTATTTAGTGAAAGATGGCAAAATCAGTTATCTGGCCCAAAAATAAAGCTGCCTACTTAAAATCAAGAACCCTGATTGGTTTTCAATGCCAAAAATTATACTAAACATAAACAAGTTATAAATATAGAATAGATAAATAAGGCAATTTTAAAATTAGACCACCTCTGGTTAGATGTCCAAATTTCATGTTTCAAAAAAAAAAAGAAAAAAAAAAGAAAAAGTGCGTTGAAAATAATATACATGTACCCTTGCATGATTGTATGCAAAAAAAAAGTGTTTCATTTCAAGAGTAGATTTCATAACCATAAGTTGGATGCATGCCACATATTCATTAGGGAGCTTACACAACAACAAGGGGGAAAGCAGGGAAAATGTCACTTAAAAAGTAAATTCATGCTGTTTCAAACTTCATTGCTGTTACTTTCTATCCTCTAATTTGTCAATTTATTACCACCCAGAATACATGACCATAATATGTTAACTCTCCATTAGACATGGATGTGTTGTGGTTCAATTGCTTGTCCTTGGTTCAAATTTTGTTTTCTTTTTTCTTTGTCAAATTCATTTTCATAATTATATAACCATGTTACCAAAGAACAAAGGAAAATAAAATTCAAGCCAAAGACAAAACTGAAACACAAGATGTGTTAGCTTATTGCATGGTCTATGCTAATTTCATTAAAAGAAAACTTAAGGACATTTAAAATATATAAAACTGATATATGGTATTATTTGAAAAAGAGTGTAACTATGTACTGCTTTCAAGAATAAAAAATGTCCCAAATAAGTTCAGGTTGAAGAAAAAATAATACAAAGAACATGGTAGTAACATGTGAAAGTTTCTATTTTCATCACTTGCAAAGACAGTTTTCTACAAATGGAACAGTAAACCACACAAACAAAGCATGGTAAGCAATAATTCAAATGGTAATTTTTGAGAACTGAGTAACATTTGCATAATTTGTATCAATCTACCATCTGTTACAACATGAAAGATAATCCCTACACACAAACTGATCCACTTATTTATAAAAATAAAATACATTTCCTTCCTTGTAAGCTCTACTTATATCAAAATAAAAATAAAATGTTATTAGAATTAAAATTCAATGTTATTGTCATATTTTTCTCACTGTGTGGTCTTATTAATACCATCAGCAGTTACTAAGGTATCTACAAAGTAATCCAACGGCAGACATAACTGTTGTGAAAAATAAAACCAACAGCTAAAAGATTGTTCACATTTACGATAAAAAGAGGTTGGAGAATTGGCACCCAGTTAATTATTGCTGGTGAATATTTCATAAACTGTCACAAAGATGAACAAAATAACTATCTCTGCAACAAAAGTTGTAATTTCCATGGATTTAAAATAGATAAATTAATGTTTTTACATATAAAATAATATTGCTAGAAATTGCTTCCATATGCTAGCATATAATTTACTACTATCATTTAAATATCCGTCTTGTTTTTAGTCAGCATATTGAAGGGCAAAGTTTCCGCACAGCCCCATACTTCATTATGCATACATAAAAAAAACTCAAACCTTCAAAAAATCGCCGTTTCTTGATTAAAAATTGCGCCGAATCGAGCGCTGATTTAAAATATGTAACAGTCAAATAAAAAATTACTATGCTTTATGAAATCTCTAAATCAAAACAGCTTAAATTCCGCCTCATATTAGCCTCAAAATTGTTGTTTTTGAAAGCAAACATTCGTAAAACAATAAAGATATAATCGATGCTCACCTTTAAAGTTGTCCATTGTCGTTGTCGTTGTCGTTTTTCCTTTTCCCTTCACAAGTAGAGTTGCTTATTTTTCTTTCTTCATTGAATGTTTATTTTCATCGGCGGTGGTTGTGTAGACAGGCACCAGCACAAACAGAGGCACGAGGAGCTTAGTTTTTTTGATGTCTTTCGAACATCATATACTTCGGCGATATGCTCGATTATATTTCCAAGAGGATCTTCTCCATATTGCTTACGCCACAACCACTCCTGTAGGTAGCTACCGAAGAGATCTTTGGATATTCCTGTACGAGGTATACTTCGTTTGATTCCCCACCGTGTATTTTCGATGCGCTGAGTATAAACGCCTTTGTCTGGGTCTACGAAGTTTAGGCTGTGGTTCACTGTGAGATGGTTGTAGCCCTCGTCCTGTAAGCAATCATAAGCTTTCCACATATCGCTCATCACGCATATTCCCGGCAATATTTGAGCGCGTATAACGGGTATGAGCGTATCTTTATCCCTGCGCTCTACCGGTACAAGGATGCAGGCCTTGGTTTCACGGCAAATGCCATCAAAGACCCACTTTCCTTCGACGTAGCGACCGCGGTGACACGTCTCATTTCTTCGTGCAAAATCCAACATGTTTTAAAGGTGAGGAAAATGATTTCAGTGTTAATTTTTGGAATTTGAATAAGGTATTAGAAATATAACTTTGAAAGTTACCCTTTATCGGCAAGAAGCACATCTAGATCAATGGTATAGAGGATAGACTGCTAGTCTGACGAAGACGATAGAGAATTGAGAGTTCGAACCCTGCAGGTAACGTAAAAAAAAGAAAAAATAGACTGAGAGGGGCCTTAAAGGAAGGATAGATAGTAGGAAGTGCCCACCAGAGAAATGGGGAAGAGAAAGAGGGGAAAATGGAGAGAGAGAGAGGGAAAAACAGCGCGGAAAGAAACGCTGTGAAAAAAATCCTCTTTTATTAGTGCGGTAAGTAATAATTAGGGATGTATATATTCAATTACCAAGGGAATTGTCTATTGTATTCAAAGACAAAGAGTAGAATGCATAATTAATAAGATGCGCATGCATAATGAAGTATGGGGCTGTGCGGAAATTTTTCCCTCCTGGTAAATCTTTACTGTTAGCAACGGCGACCGACTTGTGGAGGTAAATTTTTCTAAACAAAGAAAACAATGACAATAGAGGAGATTGTTATTTCAGAGTACACGTTTGCATATCAGTTGCTTAGAAAGAAACGCAAAGCCATGAAATTAATGAAAAGCGAACAACAAACATTTTACGACTACTTAACGCCAAACTACTTACCCAGTAGCTATAGATATTAACTGAAATAATGCCAACACTATCCATAGTAAAATAAAGAACATTGCTAAGAGATCCAACACATTAGGCGCATAAAACTCGTCGACATTAGCGAAAGGGGAAGCCATGTTGGATGATTGTAGAAACACGGCCAGCCCTAGGGCAGAGTCTTGTGATTGGCTCGTTCTGTCTGACTGGTCGCATTGATTGGATAGAATTTCCCGCCCTTTTCAAGCTCTCGAAGTCGCCTGCCGTGTTCAGGTGACGTGGCTTGCAATTTCTTCGACCCCTCTAGCTGTAAATTCAGTTGTACCAGACTTCCAATCTTCAAAAATTAAAAGCCATGTATACAAAGTGCTTTTAAATAGTATTTACGGTGCAAATAAAGATTTATGGCCCTCTATCTGCACATGAAGCACGACAAGACAGAGAAAAAAGAAACAAACTGAGGCCCTGGGCGTGAACTGCTACAGCCCTTGTCAAGAGGGGTGATAGGGCGGATCCACAAATTTTAGAAAGAGGGGTACTAGCATGTTACATAGATACCATCATTTTATTCGCTGGTGACAGAACTCTGAGACTATCTGTACATCTGTGTCCAAAAAATTGAGCTTAAGAAGACAGATTCAGCCGAAAATTCGTTTAACACAGTTTCAGTTAAGAAAGAGAAGAAGGCCCCTCCCCCGCTGAAGCCACTAGCTTTGTTACTCTTATATCAAATATGAATACAGTCAACTCTAGCTTAGTGGACACCCCCCTGGGGGGGACTCCGCATATGAAAGGGGTGGGGATGCTCGTCGGAAATTTTGAATTAAACCCCCAAAGGAGACCGATCTGGGCGTGGCCCAAGCTCTTTTTGACCCCTAAGAGACCATGTTAACACAGAAAATATATATATTTTTATTTTTTTTGGCGTGCAACCCTAAAAGAGACCTTCACGGCTAAATATGATGGCGTTTTACCCAGAACACCCTAACGGAGACCAAAATCCAAAATTTACACCCCTAAGCGAGACGACGAGCATCCCCACCACTTTCAATATGTCGAAACCTCTAAGATGGACAACTCCCACAGACAGACACCTGGTGTTGGTCCCTGCCTTTTTTCAGTCATTCTACTGCAATAAATTATACTGTCTACAAGATGGATCCCTCTATAAGAAGGACAACGGACACTTTTGAAACTGTCAACGGACAAAAATACCTCAAAATTGAAATGTAGGTGCTCTAAATGACAGTAAATTGCAAATATTTGATGTGTTATAGTTTTGCTTCAGTTTATAGAGTCTATGCTGTTACGCTTGGAGTTGTGAACGTTTGTTTGAAATGAACGTTTGATTGCACAATGAGAAAATAATTCCACTTTTCTGTTACAATTCTGTTCCAATTTGTGTGGTTTTGTACAAGATAAACAGACGTGTATACATTGCAAATAGCTTCAGCTTAAAAAATAAAGGTGTCAAGATACCTCGACTCTCTATAAGACAGACACCTCTCTAAGACGGACAGCAGGGCTAGTCCAGGTCCCGAAGGTGTCTGTCTTGGAGAGAGATGACTGTAATACACTACGTTGATCCAAATATCGTGGGAAATAAGTAATGAAAAATTTAAGTCTCAGATAAACTGACTAAGTTAGTTCATAACTGGAGAATCGATAAGCCATGCATATTGTAAGAAACCACGATAAGATTACACAATGAAAACGAAAAATAAAAAACATGAAGTTGAAATTTCTCTCTTTAACTTTAATTACAAACTACTTATACATTATTCCTCAGTGACAAATCATTATAATGTGCCACATTCCTCATGGCTGAAGGTAATGCAAGTAATTAACCATAGACCCAAGGAAACTGGTTGTTTCAATGCAAAGTAGTTTTGATACATGTTGTTGAGATACAAACTTAACAAATTAACTTGTATGAACAAGAAAAATGTATGGCACAAAATTAATATTCAAGTATGCAAAACTGTTTTCACCCAGACTGAATCAAGATAACAATCAAAACAACTAATCAAAAGTACATTGTTCCAAAATGACGCAGTAAACTAATGCACTACAGTGGCTATTACAGTCCTTCAGGTTTAAGTACAACATCAACTCTCTGGCTAAAACAAGGTATATTTGTTTGGCAACTCGGCCTTGCAGTGGTTGGGGGGAGGGGGGAGAGCTCTGCACTCATCTCCTGTATCAGTTTCAACTATGTTTGCAATATTACTTCACTCAAACAAAATTTTCTGCCTCATTTAACATGTAAATGAAAAATATCAAACACACTAGCTTCCTCTCAATGAGAGTTTGGGCTGCCTGTGGAATAACATTGTTTAGGAGTCGAAAGGTAGGGGAGGATTCAGAGCATAATTAATCTTTCTTTACAATAGCTTTGTATTACTTTTTGCTATTTTCCATTACTGCAATTAGTTATTTCCATTTTCATTATTTTTCATTAATTTTCTTTCTCCAAGGCATCCCGTATATCAGGATCTTTAATAACAATTTTCTGCCCTGGCTCAAAATAAAACTTCAACGTTTGTTCACTAGCTAGTCCTTTTTCCAGTGAACTTATTATATCTTCTATTATTTTACACATGGCTTCATATACACTGCTGATAAATTTGTTTTCTCCCTCTTCATTTTCATCTTCAGGTCGAGAATCTAAAGGATAGCACAAAGCATTTTGATTCTTGTTAAAATAATTGGGAAGGAACCTGTTTTGAATTGCACACAAAAGCTTTTGAAAGATTGTTAAAAGGTGTGTTGATGGTTCATCTGTCCTCCAAAACTTTGAATCTGGGAATTGTTCACATTCATAAAGAAATAAAGTTTTCAAGGCATATGTTTTTAAAAATGCCTCTCCAAGCTGGTCAACTGGTGTGACAAGATTGCGGATTATTTTCAGCAGCCTATAGCACACATTGCTTGCATCATTCTCTTTGAACCAAAAACAGATGATCTTATTTTCTAGAACACTACATGTTTGCTTCCATGTGTCATCTAACATGCGACAATACAACAATTCATGACTGGCATCAGCACATAAACCAGCTTTTACTATCAGATGTTCACTTGGTAATCGTTTGTCAAGATTGCAAAATGATGGTAGGCCCCTCATAGCAATTACATAGGTCACATCAACAGATATGTTAAGGTTAGGGTAGTATACTCCTTTCCAGTTGAGTAACAGTGTAAGAGCTGGTCCAGAGAACTTAAAGTTGGCCAGAAATTCTTCCCCACCTTCAAATCTCCTTCTTACAGATTTCTGTGATGTGGTAAGTGAGATGCCATCTGGCAATGACATAGTTGCTAAGCAACTGCAAACAGCATTACGGTATTCACTGTCAATTGTTGCTTGTAATAATGTCTGTTTATTGGCAGCATCCTCTTCCCATTCCAACACACTCTGCGGATTCCAATTCAATTTTGTGTTGTCAATCTCTAGAGAAACCAAATGTGTGTACTCTGGATCTTCAAATGGCTTACAAGAGCACACACCTGGCTGAGAAAACTTGTTTAAAACCAACAGGAAATCAAATTCATCTGGTGCATTGATTTTACTGTTGTGATAAAAACTGCCACAATGGACAACAGAGTTAGAAAGGATGGGATTCAATTCCCCTATCCTATTTGAAATCTGATGAACGATTCCCTCTATTTTAGATTTTATCAGTTGCACTTCATCATTTTTGTAGTCCACACTGTGAAGTCTGTCTAGTTTCATCAGTGTGTCTTCAACATTGGAAGCCATCCTGTTTCAGTTTTCATTTACTCTAGATTCCGATCAGGTATGATTAAAACGTTCCACAGTAATGGACTGCCCAGGTATCACCGAGATAATCAAACTTGGTCACCCAAACACGGCAGTTGACAAGTTATTCTCGATTGCTGATAAGGGAAGTGAGTCGAAGTCACATTTGCTAAACTGCAAAGACACAACTGATTCTCAACTTGCCAGATTCCCCCTAAGAGAGAAACTTAAAGTCATCTCCAATGATGTCGAACAAACTTATTGGCGCGCAGGACTCTCTCAAAATTTATGGCGTCTATGCGCCTGCGAGGCAGCGGACAGCGGGTAGTTTGTTTTAGGTAGATACGTAGTGTATGACGACACCCACAAGAGATGAGCAAATGAGCATCTTTGCTTTACATCACGAATTCGCAAATTTATTTGCAATTTATCATGTACATCTACTGATCGCTATAATATGGAGTGGGAAAGCAAATTTTCTTCAATCGTACGTGAAACAGAGACGAATTTAGCGAGAGTTCGGGTAAGAACAGCTAAAGGATGCGGATCGCGGTCACACATTCCTCCACAGTAAAAATAACGCAAGCGACGTCTTCGTGAGAAACGAAACTTTATGTAAACTCGATTTATTTTTCTCCTAGCAAGCATCTACATCTGATAAATTTGTCAACCCGTAATTCTTTACATTTCTTTTAAACCTCTGGATTTCATTTTAATGTATTTACTTTAGGACCGCCTGGGTTCTTCAAGCAAAACAAAAGAATCGGGTCGGTCAAGGGAAAACCATTTTGGCGGTAAGTGTCTTGTTTGTTAATCGACCGTTAAATTGAGAGTTAGGTCATTTCGATTCTATAAATTATCAAAGCTTACTCCTTAATCTTAAGCCTGTAAGTCATTTTAACGATTTATAGGGCATAGCCAGAAATTAGTGCATCGTTGGAATGCTTTTTTTCAATGAATTGCGTTGGATAAATTATGCCAGGTATTTTATTGAAAAAGGGCGATATTTTTTGCACCGTAAGTGTGTTTACACAAACTTAATATTGTGAAAAACTACAACTCTTAAGATCCCGAACCGTGAAACCAAGGTCGTGACCTTGAAAAAGGACAAACCACAGTGGGTGACTTGATAAACCTATCATCGTATAGTAATAGTAAGTAACAAACCCTGTGGGGTGCTTTACAACTAAGTTGTTCTTCGAGTTGAACTCGAAGCTTTTCACTCTCCACCCGCTCCACCTCGAGGTCTTATACAGTAACTTCTATTGACAAATGGTACCCCCTTCACATATTACCTGGTTTAGAACTTATGCAAAACTGCTGTAAATGCACTGTCTGTAAAATATGAATAAACCACAAAATCAGAACATTTTCTTGACTTTTTCACAGCCATAAAGTGCATCTGTTAGCCCTTTTGGGCCTTTCTACAGCATACATGCCAGATATGGCACCGATCTCCGGCTCTCTCGTACAGGTCACCATATCTCTCAGATAAAATCATCTTTTGACCTTTTCTGTGCCTTTTTAGCTCAAAACTTGAATTTTTCTTCTTCATCATACGGTTTCTGGGGCATTTTTGCACGTATTTAGTCACTGACAAAGGTTATTTCTGGCATCAAAACAATGATTGCGAATTTTGGCTGTATTATTCATGTAAGACTTCATGCAATGTCCAAAGTCATTCTCATTGGGGGCTGGGTCAATTTGTCAGGGGGGGTGGGGGATGGAGTCTGTTGAAATTCTGGTGGAGGGGTTGTGAAAAAAAGGGAGTCTCCAGATTTTAGATCTCCAGATGTTGGCGTCTCTGCTACAGACCTCAATGACAGAATTCCGAGATCCCTACCCTTCATATACCTAAACCCTGAAAAAGGTACCCCTTTTGTGTGGAACTTCCTCATATAGGCCATCATAGGCAGTACTCCCTCAGGTTGTAGACAAAGCACTGTATCCTTAGCCCTTAAATATAGCTGTCTCTCATCCTTCCCTGCTTCCAGGATGTTTTGTGAGATATATGGCTACGTTTCCATGTTAGAAATTCCATTAGGCTGTTTCTCATAGCTGGACAGATGTCGTAATCAGAAGTGTAGAACATTACGATCTAGTGAAAACAGTATTCTGATTCCACTTATGACTCCTAAAAACAAGTATGATGCTGGTCACTGTTGGACGTGAAAAGTGAAGGTTACTATCATTCGTACAGGAAATTTTACAAAACTGCTTTCTTTCTTATTTGATAGCCTCCATAAGTCCAGGGAACCTTCGATCTCAGACTTCCCGAAGTCCTCATATTTCAGTTATGGCTTGGGATAAACTCAGCCCTGTGAAAACTGTTGGCATGGCAACTAGTGTTCCCTCAAGTCAGGCATCACCTGCTCTTGTTAATGCATTGTTTGAAAGGGTTGAGGAACAAGCTGAGGTGAGAACTTTTACATTAGAGAGATTAAGATTCACATTTGCGCCAAACGACAAAATGTGAATTTGTACCACATGACTAAGTTTTCCCCTTATTTTCCATTTACTGTTTATTGCTTCTACACAAAAATAAGTAGTTTTATGCCAGTTTTATCCTTAAGAATCGTTCTGGACTGTTTTTATCTGGTTATTTTTTATTCTGAGAAATTCTCAACTGACGTTTGCCGTATGCCGTAAACGTGAATCTCTAATAATAAAAAAATAATGATAACGATAATAATAATGGTAATAATAATATATTCAGGGAGGCCCTCACTTAGATTAGACAATATTAAAATAATTTTTTCTACATGTTTAAACTTAAGGTACAGTAAAACGAGCAATAAAAAACATTCAACTTGTCTAAGTTGAAATATTTGCTGCAAAACAAGTTGAATACCAATGTTCAGCGTGCAAAGAAATTAGCGTCTGATAGCCCGGGGCTAGTGGATTTTGCTATCGGGCTAGTGAATTCTGTTCTTAACTTGCCCGATGGGCAAGTGAAGATTTTTGAGGAATTCAAATTACATAAGAACTGTGTTATCAATCCTGCTTATCAAAACGATTTTGGGGCTAGTTGAAATGAATTTTGGGCTAGTGCATGCCAGCTACAGCTTGCCCAAATGGCAACCTGTAAAACTGACTTTCTTTGCACCCTGGATGTTGCACTTTTTACCACCTACATCAAATCTGTCTTTCAACAAATAAGGTTGTTATCAGGTTTGACCGTGGTTGGTAAGATGCGCAGCATCACTTTTCAACTCATTTTGTTGCAGTGTTGTAAAACAAGTGCCCTTTTTGTTGCTTAATCTACCCACAGCTTTAATAATACAATCAAAATTTAAAACTCAACTGTCATGCAAATGTTGAAGGCTAAAATAAAGAGTCTTACAAACTAAAAATGTTTGGCAATTTGTGTGTATGTCCAGCTTAAAAATTTGTAAATTTATGTATTAAATGTGTAACCTACTATTGCATTTTAGCTAGTGAGTCATTTAAGTGACACCGTCAGGGGACTTGAGAAAGAGAGAGAAACTCATGCTGCAGAGATCAAGAGAATGAGAGGTACATTCTTGTAACATATTACAGCTCCATTTACTATCAAAGTTACAAAACTTTTAGCACTCCCCCTCTCCCTGAAAAAAGATCATTCACATTTGAATTTTTACTTAGCTCATGTGACCATTCCAAGTGCCCTGTTTGGTGTGTAACTTTCCTTCCCTTCTTAGAAAGGCAATAACAACAGTTAAAATGCTCTAAAGCTGCCTGGACAGGACTCTGTTGAAATACACCTGTATCTCTCTTCAGCTCAAATTATCATTATTAAATAGTGACTTCCTTGATTTGCCATGGCTGAAAAGTTCTTCTGCAAGCATTTGTGATCTTTTTTAAACTGCAAAACATTTTTTTGCCTCTCCAAAAAGGAAGGAAAGTCTTGTGACCAAATGGGGCGCTCAGAATCTGAGCCTGTTGGCAAAACCGTCAGCAAGTGGTCCGGGGAAAAATCACCAACAGTTTTAAACTGAAATCAATTTTGACCCGGAACATGTGTCTTATCTGAGAAATACTTTCTACTCACTTTCTTAATTGGTTTATCACATAAGGCTTACTGTCCTTTTCTCCTTGGGAACATAGACATATTTTTCAGTGATGCAAGGGACAGCAAGATGCCAATATCTGTTTTACGTAATAAATTTTCTTACTCAGATGAAATAAACAGACTGAATGAAAGGCTAAGAGAAAAGGGAGTAGACATTGAAACAGAACGAAAGTTAGAGCAAGTGAGTATTAAAAGAAAGATTGCTAAATCTCTTTCATTGTGCTTTAATTCAGTCCTTTACTTACATGTACAGCATTATGTTAAGTAGCTCTGGGCAATAACTTTTCAGCTGAAGGAGTGTGAAATAAGTAATTCTTGATGCACTGTCAAATTTTCTCCAGTTCCACAAGCAAGTATGTTGAACAGCACCTCAGAAAAGCAACCATTTTATGTGTTGTAGCTCTTAAGAAGTTTTAATTTTTGACTGTGTTAATTTTTTATCAATGAAAATTTAATTTGAACCTCACCAGAAGAATCTTTTCTCACAGCTAGATTATAGTGACAAAATGGTTTAGAATAATAATGGAGACTCATCTAATCATGTGTTTCAAATGATATTATTATTGTTGTTTTTCTTTGGTAGTTTAAGCGTGATGTATATAGCCAGCTGGAATTTGTCCAAAGCCAATCCAAGTTAAGACAGAGTACAAGTGAAAACTCCCATCGCAGTGATCCATCTGTCATCAATGAAGCGTTAGTGTTAACAAACTTCAACCTGTAAATCACTGAAAAGAATTGTTGAGTTTTAAGTTAATTAAAAAAATGTTAACAGTATTTTTTAATGACAATGTCCATTTTGATAGCAACAAGATATGAATAACACAACTTTCATAATCGTTTTTAAGGAGAAGAGTTATAGAAGATGAGACAGAATCTTTACAAAGAGATATTGAACATCTTAAAACAAAGATGGGTAAGCAAAACTTATTTTTTCATCATAATTAATCAATCAGTCAGTCATTGAATTAAAAGTAAGTGAGCGAGTTAGTGTGTCTGTCAGTCAGTCAGTCAATCAGACAGTCAGTCACTCAGTGACCTCAGACAAGTGAGAGTGTCTGTCAGTTAGTCAATCAGACAGTCAGTCACTCAGTGACCTCAGACAAGTGAGAGTGTCTGTCAGTCAGTCAGTCAATCAGACAGTCAGTCACTCAGTGACCTCAGACAAGTGAGAGTGTCTGTCAGTCAGTCAGTACAGTCAGTCACTCAGTGACCTCAGACAAGTGAGAGTCAGTCAATCAGACAGTCAGTCACTCAGTGACCTCAGTCAATCAAGTGTCAGTCAATGAACTCTAAATAGTGATTTATCAGTAAGTTACATTGGTAAGTCGAAACATCAGGCCAATTTGTCATTTGGTCTGTCAGTTATGTCAGTCAATCAGTCAGTCAGTCATTCAGTCAGATTAGTCAGTCAGTCAGTCAGGCTTGAAATCTGATTCATTTTGGTAATCAGTCAGCACTTGTATTTCTACCCACTCAACTGGTGCAACAGTAAAAGCTATTAATTTCAGCAAGTAAAACAGATATTTTCAAGCCAATAGACGTGATCCTAATTAGTATAATGTTTTCTGAGTATTTGAATTTAACATGTATTATTTTTAAATAAATGAAATGTAGGAAAGCTGGAAATTGAGCTCCACTCATCACTTAGTGACTCAAGAGATGTACTTCGTAAACAGGAAAGGCTGGACAGAGTAAGAGGTTTTTACTTAAACTTCTAAATAATAATGACATTAGTATGATACTTTAATATAACTTTTGCACTAAATTTTTGACGAGTGAGTTTTAAGACGGAATCCACCAGCACATTCAGTAATTTTGATTTTCAGTGGACAAAAATCTTGTACCAGAATAATTTAAAGCATATTGCATTTTTTCTTACATATTTCAAGGGCTAAAGATGTAATAAACCATCTGTAGTAACACCAAAAAAAATTTCTCATGGGAGCCCAAGAAAATGAATGTCAAATTTCACAAAATTACTTCTTACTACAGATAATTTATTACATCTTTAGCCCGTGAAAAATGTAAAAAAGAGTGCAATATTCTTTAAATTATTCTGGTACAATGTTTTTGTCCACTGAAAATTAAAATTAGTCAATTTCCTGATGGATTCTGTCTTAATACATGTGATGAAATAATGTTGCTTGTTCGTTGGCATCCTTTCACAGGTTCTGTCATCACTTTCGGAGAATCAGCGCTCACAGTCAAAAAGCTTAAGCAGTATAGTTGATGAGAAGCAATCAGATTCATATGAAATACGGCAACTTAAGTAAGTTTAATAGCCATGCATATTCCTTTCTTAGTGTGAGAAACCTGTACTTTTTTTGTTCTGAAATAATGTTAATAATAATATACCTGCCAACTTTTTCTGAGTCAAATGCATGAGATTTTTACCTTGTCATGACCAAGATTTCCGGAAGCATCCAGGCAACTTCCAAAGATTTCCAATGAATTTCTGAAGACCTCTGAATGTTGCCGAAAATTAAATGTTCGCAGATTTTCCAAAGATGTTTGAGCACTTCCAAAGCTACTTAAAAGATGACACTGATTTTAGCTTACTTTGATTTCGTTAGAACACAAAAAAGGACACAAAGTCATCACATGGTCAAGAACAATTTGTCCTGATTTGTGAGTCAGGTGTGACAAATTGTCCTTGATACATGAGATCGATGTATTTAGTCCACAGGCGTGAGACTCATGCATAATATCTGAGAATTGGCAAGTATATAATAATATTGTGCTCACTTTTACCATGGAAATATGAGGAGTTTTGTTCTGAAAAAAACCTGTGATTGTGCTGTGTTTTACTTGCAGGCATCTTGTAAACCAAGTTAGACGACAGTTTTCTGATCTGGAATCTGAGTTTCAGTCCAGCATCAGAAATTCAGGAGTTTCAAGTAAGTGAAGACGATACTTTTTCAGCATGAATATTTGAATACAATAACACATCAGCCACAGTTTTTGTGAGGATATATTAAGTTTTAATTTTCCTGAAAATTACCCCAAAGAGGTTATATTTTAAATTTACTTTCAGTGATAGATTTATCCTTAATCTTGTTTGGAATCATCTCTAAAAAGTGTATTCAGTAACCAATTCATTTGTGTATTCCAGTTATTTTCCACACACACTTCATTAACTATAATATTGTGGCTATGTGTGGAAAGAAGATGGTCATATTACTTTGTAAATTTTCAACAGGTAATAATTCATCTGTGAGGCAGTCCCAACTGCGTGCTTCAACACAAGCAAGATTTATGAATGGTGATGCAAAATCAAAACGAAAAGGAACTAAACATAAATCCAAGGCAGCAGTGGATGATCTTGTCCTGTCAAGCAGTAGTGATAATGATCTGAGTTTGACAACACTGGATGTTAGTAGTCCTAGTGACTCAGAGCTGATGTCATTGAAGCTCGACAGGTCTCACAAAGGTAAACTTGACTGATAGGTAGTTTAATAGACCCTTCCTGGTTTTTTCTTTTCAAGTTTTGTTTAAGACCAGTTTGCAAAGATTTAATGTCCATTGATACTGCTGGAAACTTGCCAAGTTTAAAGGTGAAGATATTGTTCCACAAAGTCATGAAATTTTACTGACATTTACAAGTATGGTGGGGGGTGAGAACCTGTCCCCCACCATGCAGTCTTTATCTTTGTTAGTTTTCAACAAATCACATTCAAACTTGGTATTTTAACTAAAAATTTTAAGGCCTTCTTTTAAGCCATGTTGACAGATTTTTCCTGTTGACGGATTTTTTTCGAAAGTCAAAAAAAACCATGAAGGTGTCTGTTTAGGTGAAAAAATTCTTGAAAAAGACTACTGACAGAGAAGTTTCTTGGCTGCCATGACCATTCTTTTTCCCTTTTATTCCAAACATTTCTATGTAATCATCACAAATTTTTTTCTGCAAAATGCTGGAAAACTAGTAGTACCATACGCTTTAAACTGCATATTACATATTACAAAGCAAACAGTCAAGTTTCATGTAAAAGTACTGCTTCAGAGGTTTCATTTGAGCGGTCATAGCATACAAGAAAGTTAATACCAAGTACATGTGAAAGTACTACCAAAGAGCTTTCTTTAAATTTAAGGTCACATCCTAGGAATTTGTGCACAGATCCAAATGTTATAAAGTCTGTGTATTCTAGTTGGCCTTTTTAGGGCCTGTTTACATGGAGGTGGGGGACCCCAGGTAGGTGAGGTAACCCGCCTGTCCATATAATCTCTCATTTTAATTTGATCACGTTTTATACATGATAGGTGGGGTGATCGTAGAAGAGATTATAATGGACAAGCTGATTACCCCACCTAAGCAGGCTACCTCACTTACTTGGGGTCCCCCACCTGATCCATGTAAACAGGCCGTTAGTGGCAGATCTAGGGGAGAGGCCCAGGGGGCCCCCCCCCCCCCCTGTTTTCAGGCAAAATCAAATCTGTCAGGGGAAGAAAAATAAATGCTTTTACACGGCACTCTTCTTATCTCAAAGTCTGGATGAGCTCTCTTCCCCCCCCCCCACCCCTCCCAAAGTAGCGAGTGAAGCAAGACAAACAGACACATCAAGGAGTGGCACAGCTGCAAAGGGGGGCTTTTTTCACCCCACCCACCCCTCACTCTTGCACCCCTTTTTGGGTGGCCCTTGTGGCTGAATTCTCACAATATTCCCCAAATAGAGAGCTTGCTTGAAGGATACTGTATCTCCTTACCTCAAGATCTAGGTCATCCACCTTTGTGATATTTAGGAACAAATGTGTAATGTGTAAGAACTCAAGAGAAAATTGTGATTAATTGGCAGGAGTGTCAGGAAATGGAGTAGGAAGCATCTCAAGTTCATCACTCAGTTCTTTGGACTCTGACGATTTACTGAAGGAATTATCACATTAACTTTTGCTCAACTGTATCATAGGACATGAGCTTTTGGGTTGAATGGGAAAAAATTGATGGCCATTTTGCGCAAGTTGTCTTTATGGAGTAATGCATCTGATTACTGATTCATTAGTTTTCTCTATTGACAAAACTGATAATTCATTAATGCTTAGAATCAAGGTTTAATTTCCAAAGCATTTGCAAGTCATTTTTTATTGTTATCATTTTTGTTCTTTTTAAGGCCCACACATTTTTTTTTCATAATTTATGAAAACCCTGCCATTTTATTTGACCAACCAATCAGGTTACAAGAATTTTCACAAAAAAGGTGCACAAGCTATTAGACCTGAAAACAAACACGAGCAATCCCAAAGCCTTTTGGATAAAGGTGGTCATTAACAGTCACTTGTTTTGAAGTGAGGTATTATGTTTTTTACTCCCCTTCACTTCATTGTCATCTGCCGATGTCTCCTGACGCACACTAATAGGGTATATTATCCTTCTCCCTCGCCCTTCCATTACCTAATGGCTCAGATAGTGCCCGTGGTACGTTTGGCCGCGCATGCCAAAAGTAGCACCTTGTACGGTCGGTCGTACGGTCGTAAGTCCAAATTTTTTCGGCTTGATGGGTTATGATAGGTTACTACTATTTCATATAATTATGGGGCTACGCTTCGCGCGCTGCGAGCTCTGCTATAACCAGAATTATCCATAAGTTGTTGTATTTATATTTTGAATCTGATTAATTTGATGTAATATTCTCAAGTTATTATTTTTTTTAGCGTGTTTGACAATTTCTTGAAATGGCGGCATTCCAAAACTGTCAAAGTAATTGATTATATTATCTCTCATATATGTAGCAGCCCAATGTGATCCACTCATATATGAAGGTTCAAGATTGTAAATAAAAAGTGCATGTTTGTGATTATGTGGAATTGATCCATCTCTTGATAGTACATCATTTATCGATATAAGGAACCTCTCTTCTTTTTTGTTTCCGAATTTTGTAATAGTTGTGGAATTTATCGTCGAAACAGGCACTCTGTTGCTCATACTTCGAGGGCCCTCACTCCTACGGAAACTAACTATGCCCAGATCGAGAAGTAGTTATTATCAATTGTCTTTGGGGTTGTGCAGTTTGAAGGCTATGTCTATTGTAGAAAGACTTTTATTACACTGACAACAAACCCCTGGAATCCATTTATGAAAAAGAGTCTGTTGAGTGCACCAAAGCGGTTTGAGAGAATGCTGTTGCGTCCACAGAAATTTGACTGAGTGAAGTCTCATACAGAAAGGACACTAAGGCGGATCCCCTTAGCCGAGCCTACCTTCCCTTCGCTAAACAACAAGAAAAAAAATTTAAAAAATTGATTAAAAAAATAGAACGAGAAAACCTTTGCGAGCTGAAATCCAATCCTGACATTAAAATCCTGCCCATGGATAAAAACCTTGGTCCAGCTCTTCTGTCAACGGACTGGGTTCAGACTCTTGGGACACTTGGACATTTGCATGACGAGCTGTCATATCGTAAAGTCACACTTCAGGACTAGTATGCTAATCATCTTTGTGTAATTAACGCTCGCGAAAGGTTTATTTCTATTTACAGTAGATTTATCTCCTCTAATTTTGTTCGCTTTTTGGCTAGCTTCGATCGTTGCGTTCATTCGGCAAAGTTCTAAATTATCCCTAAAGCCTATGATGGGGACACCAATTGCCGCTGCCCATTCATATATTACTAAGCCAATTAGTAATTTTGTTGACGAGCTTATTAAGCCCACTATACATCAGCTTACGGTCGTTTGGGATTCTGGAGAGCTTAGTCAATTACTGGAAAATACTGTCTTGCCCAACTCAAGCTGTTTTCTTGTCACCGGGATGTTGCACCTCTATATCCCAACGTACACACCAGAAAGGCTTTAGTTGCTCTTGACTGGCTTGACTGGCTCAAGGGCTCCCGAAACTGCACTATTAATTCAGCTGGCCAGACTTGTATTCGGAAATAACTATTTATCGTCCGAATTCAGTTCAGATATTTTTCACCAAGAGTTCGGTTTTGCTATGGGCACTCTTTTCGCCGTCACAGTGGGAAACGCTTTAATGCATTTTCACGAGATAGATATTGTGGAGCAGTACTCCAAATTTATCGTGCTCTATAAGCGTTTCATTGATGACATTTTTTCCATTCGGGCAAGCCCAGGGATACCCACCCAGAATTTCTGGATGCTATTAATAAAAAAAAATGATCGCATTAAGCTTGTTCATTGTATTAGCGACAGAAGCATTTCTTTCCTAGATCTTTGTCTATATAGGGATTATTCCTCAAGCGTGCTGCAGTTTTCTACCTTTTAAAAGCCTCTTAACAAATATCTATACATACCCTTCGAGTCGTTTCATCCCTCTTGCAACAAAAAAGCTTTTATAAAGGGGGGCTTATGAGATATGCTAGAAACGATTCTTCCTTTAAGTCTTTCTAACAACAGAAATTGAGACTGAGCGTGTAGATATGATTGTGTTAGTTCCCATTCGACAACTAACCCTCTTAGAAATCAAGAGTGCCATGGAAGTTGATGCAGAGCTTCAGGCATTAGCCACTATGATTGTCATGAACATCTATACGCCCGTCAATCACTTATGATACGTCACAATTACTGAGTAACTGGTTACTTCTCCTTCATTGTACAGTTCGGTCTGGTTGATAATAAACTTTGTTGGTCTGATCAAATATCAGCGAAATATCTCTGGAACTGGTGCCGAGACTCTATTAAGCATGTCAAAAACAGAAG